ATAAAACTAAAATGATTTTAATAACATTATTCAAAATATAATATCTTTCTATATTGTTTAAATTAAAATTATCTATTATTTTTCAGATTTTCGTATTCTCCATGAGATCCTTTTCTATTGTTATTATAGCTAAAATTATCTATTAAACACATCATCATACTCATAATCAATCAATCATACACTAAAAATACAACCTACAATATATGATCGGTAACTAACGAATCTAAGTAGAGTCCCCTAATATTCTGAGGCCCTGTGCCGAAGGGCGGGCCAGCACACCTTCTTGGCCGGCCCTGCCCTTAGCACACGACCATCATTGGTTCTTTGTGAGGCCATGTCTTGTTTGTGCGTATGATACCTTCTTATGCATGCCCCTATGTCCATCATTCATGATTGATGGCATGTACTTACTACTCATGGACATGGACTTGCCCCCCCTGTCCACACTTAGCCAAATTTGCGTACTTATCACAAGCATGTGTAGGTTGGAATTCTTTTAGATTCTTGGACATGCCCCCTACTCCATTATTCATGGTGGGTGACATGCCTCCTTGCCCATACTTAGCTAAATTTTCAACACGACGAGAACTCTTTTTGGCTTTCCCACGTCTTTTCTTGTTGGACTTGACCTCATATCCACTGTTTGCGATTGGTTGCATATCCTCTTGTCCAGACTTAACCATAGTTTTACACTTATAAAGGTCATGGGTGGCTTGGGGCTGTTGTGTCTTCCAAGACATGCCCCCTACTTCATACTTCATGATGGGTGACACTGACATGCCCCCATATCCAGACTTAGCCAAATTAGCATGCTTAGCACAAGCATGTGTTTCTTGTTATTGATGTGGTCTCTTAGAGATCACATGCTCCCTAGATGGACTTTTAGGCTTCACGTTGTGGGAAGTTAGACTTTCATGCCCCCCTTGTTGAGCTCTTGGTGTTTTGAATCCATCAGAATCACTTCTTTGTCTACTCAATAGGGGTGGCTTCGAGGGTGGGCAAGCATGTGGTGGTACTTGTTCCACATTGAATGGATCTTCACCATCTCGTCCATTGACAAGTGTCTCATCTGATCTTGTCTCGAGAACAAGCGGTTGAACATCACCTTGTACATGCAAGACCCCATGATTGGTGTTCAAAGTGGAGGTGGACCTCTCACCACAACTATCACATAGAGGGAGTGGTTTGCTTGCCACTGGAGGTGACAAGCTCTTCTGCCATAGTTGGCCATTCTGGTCATTAGAAGAAGAGTTTGTACCATCTAGTGGCAAATCTCTTGATTGAACCACTTTCTTTATCAAAAGGTGTTTCAAATCATTGAAATCATCATTATTTTTGTTAACCAACTCTATAAGTTGACTTAAACGAAATCTAGATGAGAAGTGAGAGATGTTAGGCGGAGGCTTACTTGTTGGGCACCACGATGAAGGCCGACTAGGCATCCCTCCAAGGAATAACGATGTTCCTCCATGGCACGGACGTTCTCCACCTTCAACATGTGGTTCTCCTCCTTGGCTTGACGGTTCTCCGCCATCATCTTGCGGTTCTCCTCCAAGGCTTGACGATTCTCCACCATCATCTTGCGGTCTTCCTCCAATATTTTGTGAAGTAACTTGATGTTGGTGGTTATATCAACAATTGGTGCCACCGTAACGAAGTCTCCACCATGCCATTGTTTCCGGAAAAGTCCTTCATCTCTTGGAAAAATTCAAACTTAGCCACGTGCTTCTTCACAAGCCCAGGTAAGAGGTCACCTTCTTGTTGTCTCTGTCTTAGAGCCATCAAATCAAACACAAGGTCCCACCGGGTGTGCCAAATTTGTTTTCCGGCGAGAAAACTTGCGTTGAAATGAGATTAATGCACCTTTGACTTCTTTGGGCAACGATTACTAAGACACGACTCACACCTCTTCAAACAAAGTTCGACTGAGGGTGTTTGATTGATGGTTTCCGGGAACGAGATCTAAATTAAATTACTTCTACTCCTATGGAGGTTCGACGAGAGCTCCAAACTACGAACTACATCTATGGCTATATGATAGAGAAAAGGTAAAGAATAAACTTGACATGTGTGTCAGAGTGTTGGTTTTGGAACCCTTGTCTCTGTCGACCCCTCTTCCTATTTATAGCCACGAGGAGGTAACCGCAAAAGAAAACCGCTTGTTGGATAACTGCTACAAAGAACCGCTCCCTGCTTCCTCGGAGTGGTGGTTACTCCTTCAACCGCCTAGGTGCCTCTCTTGGAACTGTCGTGGGTTTTGGAGTGCGGCACGCCTCATAGCTCACGGTTATGGAATTCTTTACTCATGTCCATGGCCCTCTTGGACCTAGTCACTAGTGATATAATACTCCACCACCATGTCATTCTCCTTCGTGTCCATGGCCTCTCTCGTGAGGCGGCATGGCCTTCTCATAATTATAATATGGCATGACCTCTTCGTTCTCGCCCATGGACCTCTCAATCATGGACATGACCTCTCTCGTGAAGCCACGAGTCCTTCCCATACTTACAATATTCGAACTTGGTCAGGCCCTGACACATCCTTCTCAATACTTAGAATATTTTCGGTTATTTGGTTTAGATCATGAGGCGGCATGGCCTCTTCATTCACGACCATGGACTTCTCATTCATATCTGTGGCCCTTTCCGTGAGAGGGCCCCACATGGCTGGCACAGCCTTCTTCGTTGAAGTGGCATGTGCTTCTCCTTGAAGCGGCATGTACCTCTTCCAGACTTAGTTTATTTTTTATTCATTCGGTATTGGTCGTGGGGCGGCATGTGCTCCTCAATTTCTAGATGGACATGACCCTCTTCATGAGGCGGCACATGCTTCTAGACTTTAGATGGACATGGCCCTCTTCGCTGAGGCTAGGGTTGGGAAACGGTGCGGTCTGGTCCAGACCAGACCATATATACGGTCTATGGTCCAAACCGAGAGCCTGAAGTATAGACCACAGACCAGACCACAAACTATACGGTCCGGTCCAGACCACGCCTGTGCGGTTTGGTTCGGTCTGGTCCAGATAGACCACATTCAACGAAAAATGAACAATTTGTTTAGTCAACCACACAAAAAATTGAACCAATAACCAAGAAAAATAATTGTTATTTGCCTTAAAACATTAATCCTAACATGCATGAATAATTTTGATACCCTAATTCTTAATACATAACAAAGATTTAAAGTAAAAGCATCCCAACTTGCACCATAACGTCATAAAACATTAACATAATGTCATATTGAGACATGATTATCTCTACTCTCTGGTTAAATGTGGTTGTGAATGAAGGAGAGACGAGATTCACAAAATTAAGGTTGAGACTTGGGTGTCGTTGTGGGAGTTGGGAAAGTGGTCAAATGGGTTGTTAACACATATTGACAAGTCGGTTGGGTCCACGGTTTGGTCCGGTAAACCGCGGTCTAGACCAGACCAGACCAAGAGATTAAAATATAAAATAATACAGACCATGGACCAGATCAAACCATACTTAACGGTCTACGGTCAGGACCAAACTGTACTGTACGGTTTGGACCATGGTTTTTCTAACGGTCTGGTCTATTTTCCCAGCCCTAGCTGAAGCGACATGTCACTCTCCAGACTTAGTGGCTTGGACTTAAAATTAATATCCATAATACCCAACTTAAACAATATTAATTGTTATAATGGGTGTTGACTTATAAACTCATTGATTATTTTGTGACTCATCAATGTGGTACAAGACAAATTTTATGGTGTAAACAATAAGCGACTAATCCACATGGTGTCTGATGTCGCAAACATCAAACCTGATTTTTGTTTGTTAAGTAAGCTAAAATTATCTTGCTATCTTGTCTCAAATCTCAATGTAGAAACTAGAAACATATGCAGTTTGGAGACTTTTGTTTGCCGGGCCTTTAATGGGCCCTAATCTTAATTCTTTTTCAGCACTATACAGTTGAGCCGAATACAACTTGGTCTTATAATTTGCTTTGGGCTTATTCATCTGAAACGAGAATCCGCTAAGCCAAAACATTGTCCTCCAATCTTAATCAAAATTTACAGCTTTTGGGTATTGGAAATGCCGTTAAGCTTTGGTAAATAACATTGTCTTACGCTGTATTTAAGTATTTTACATTGGCCCGACGGTAAGACAGCCTAGTTGGTAAAAGGGTTGGGTTTCGAGTTTGGGATGTGGTAAGGTCTCAGGTTCAAATTCCAATACCACATTCTTGGTGTTCCTGGAGGCACCTTTAATACAGAAAATGAAGTATCTCCGATAACGTTAGTACTGCGCCGGTATCCGACAGCGGATCAAATCTAGACTGATTCTGGTCCATAATTTAATAGAGGCTAGGTACTGTCATAGCGGAAAATCATTTTATTGATGGACTTTTCACTTTCAGCATGAACTGGGAACAGGGGCAAAAGCAGAATGTTGATATCATGATATGTACCTTAGAAAAGAAGTACTGCTAGACTAGAGTCTGATTATATTGACATGTACAGTACAGAATTTGAATCGTATTGTTGCATGCGGTGTCTTGTTGTCCGATTCAGGAGTGTTTTACTCGTGCAGGAATTTGGCTACCTAAACGTACATGGTGTCGGCCGCCTTTCGGGTTCCATCCTTTCTTCCCTGCCGACCAGACCAGGGCTTTTTAGGCGGTAACAAACAATCAGGGCGAGATTACGAGATTATCAAACTAGATAATCATCCTTTATTTACCAGAATCGCTAATCGCTATTCCTCCAATAACGTTTTCCATAGATGTGGGCTTTTTAGTTATATTGAGATCTTCGCCGTATACTTTAGTTTTGGCGATATTTGAATGGATAATTTTAATATTGTGATCAATAGATGTATAGTACTGTAATTACTAGAATTGATATATTTTAATTTATATTATTTAATTTTTGTGATAGTTTTTCGTATTTAAATAAATTATATTATTTTTTGAATTGTAGTATCACTTTTACCTTTTATTATAAAAATAGTATTTCATAATAAAAGCAAAATATTCAAAATAAGAATCGTTTGGCGTTTAGCATTTGATATGATCCTTGGTCTCTATCTTCTCAGTATGACAGTATGGACCCGTTCCGCAACATTTTCTATCTCTACTTATTTTGACGATGTGGATTGGGAGAAAGGTCGGATGTCCAAACTGCTTGGGAGGTTTGAAGGTGAATATTAATTAAGATGTTTAGGGGTTCAAGTTAGTGGGCAACAAAGTTGGAAAGGAGTAATTAATAAATATAGGACGAGTACGAATTTGTTTTCGGGGTGGATTGTGTGAAATTCATACACGACTCATATCTAGTTATTTTATAATTAGATTATCGAAACTCGACAAAAACACAATAAACTCAAATTTTATCCGAATTAACCGGTTCGAGTAACCAATCTCTTAATTAGTTTTGCCAACTCTACTTCGGCAGTTCGGCCCCTTGTCTTACCCCATAAAATTTAATCCCTATGTGTCAAAACTCAAACGGAGGTGCTGCTGAGTGCTCACTTGCAAGTTGCGATCTTATTTACCCAAACCCTTCAGGCTTTGACCTTATCAACCAATCACTGTAAAAAAGAAAAGTTGCTCGCTGTAATCTTTCCTCGTACCCCTCTCACAAAATCCACTTGTTAAAAACCCAGACTGTACACGTGCCACAATGACGACGTGGCAGGGAAACCGTCCTTCCACGTGCTCAATATACCCAGTCCCCGCACCGAGAAAGTCTGGCAGCTCCAAGCAACCGCCACCACCCCACAACCCTCCCGTTTTACAATCAGGCTTAAATCTCTCCCAAAATTCCTCCCTGTATTCCTTTTTCTTTCAGTTGTTCAAACTTGCAAGAAACCCAATCTCAAGACCCATCAATTTCTTCCGTATTGCCAAGAATCCAAGCAAAGCAAAAGAGAAAAAGAGGAAGGAGCCCCCAAAGCAATAACCCACCAAAGTTTGAAGCTTTCTGCCCACTACAACTCTTCCCTTGTATCGGTCAAGCTTCCAAGTTCCAATCTTTATCTGCTCTGCTATAATTGGGAAAGCTTGAAGGAGAGAGAGAGAAGGAAGTCCTCAGAAATTGGAGGATCAAGAGGGAGATCAGAGATCAGAGATGGGTAGTTTGACTGTGTCTCCATGGCTTCCTTCACAGCTCAAGCCCGCTGTGTTTGAGCAGAAGGATATGTCTCTTTTCCCCTCTAGGAGGAAACTCAAGAGCAGCACGAATAACAAGAGATTCTCTGTTTCCAGCCCTGTAAGTTGCCTTGTCTCCCTAATTGCTGATTTGGCGCTTCTCCTAATCTCTAGTTGAAGAACCTGTGAATTCTGATTATGGGGTTTTGAACAAACCAGGTGGCTAGGCTGTTTGGGCCATCAATTTTTGAAGCATCAAAGCTGAAGGTGTTGTTTTTAGGGGTTGATGAGAAGAAGCATCCTGGCAAGTTGCCCAGGACTTACACTCTCACCCACAGTGATATCACCTCCAAGCTCACTTTGGCCATCTCTCAGTCCATAAACAACTCCCAGCTTCAGGGATGGGCCAACAAGCTGTACAGAGATGAAGTGGTGGCCGAGTGGAAGAAGGTGAAAGGGAAGATGTCACTCCATGTTCACTGCCACATCAGTGGTGGCCATTTCTTACTTGATCTCTTTGCTAGGCTCAGATATTTCATCTTCTGCAAAGAACTCCCCGTGGTAAGGATTCAGTAAAAACCCACAAGCCAAATTTTGGGAAAGAGTCGATCTTTCTGCTTCATGAGGTCTAAATCAGTGAAAGTCTTCGTTTTTTGGCAGGTGCTCAAGGCCTTTGTTCATGGAGATGGGAATCTGTTGAACCACCACCCGGAATTACAGGAGGCGTTGGTGTGGGTTTACTTCCACTCCACAATTCCAGAATTCAACAAGGTGGAGTGCTGGGGCCCGCTCATGGATGCTGCAGCACCTTCTTCAAAGAAGGGTGGTGGGACTAAGGTAGGCCCGGAGGTGGATGGAGAAGAGAAGGGAAAGTCATCAAGCAATTGGGGGTTGCCAGAGCCGTGCCAAGAAGACTGCAGCTGTTGTTTTCCACCCATCAGCATGATCCCATGGTCTAAAAACTTTCCCTTTGCTTCTCAAACTCAACGACCTGGCGATTCCAAGACAGCGACCCAGGAGGGATTGCATCAGCCCCCCGTCTAGCAGCAACCTTTTAGAGAAAATCTTTGTTTTCCATGGTGAAACTCCAATGCATTTGATTCGTCTGTGTGTCACACTTGTAAATAGGGAAACTCGCGTGCGAATCAGAATCTGTCGACCCAACCCGACCCTCCGTAATATTGTAGCGGAAAGTGTGGGGGATGTTGATCAATCTTTTCACCCAGTAGCTGGGTTTTTTCTTTTGGGTTTCATGACTCCATGTTGGAGTGCAAGGCAACAAGAAGTTCTACTGTGTGTCCCAATTGATAGGATACTATAATATAATGGACTCTCTCAAGCTTTGTATAGTAGTTTCTACAAGTGATCAAAAGTATCCACGACCGCGAGTTGTTCTGAAGACAGGTGCAGACTCAAAAGCTTCCGCAGTGGGAATGATGATTTTATATATATACAAAAACGGCCAAGAATCCAGTAATTGGCGGGGAGATTCTTGGCTTTATATACATTGGGGGTCTGTCAATAATGTCGGTGTACAAAAATTGACAGCATGATCAAACTGTACATCTATTAAACAGGGGAGATGCTAGTGACAAACCGGAAGTCACTGCAGCAGAATAATTACTCTTCTCCACAAACACTTCACATGACTTCACGTGGAAAGTAGGAAACGTGAAGTCACCGAATGGTGGTTCTTCCAAAGGATGATGCTCCTATTTCACTGTCAGTGTTCTGTAAAGCCACAAACGTTTGCACTGTGTTATTCTTGGTCTCCTTGCAAACGGATTGGTCCATGGTAAGATGAATATCGTTAATCAACTCAATAGAGGCTGTACCTGGGATTTAGGGGAAGGGAACACAATCCAGAATCTAAGTGTTTCGTCTCCCGCGCCAGTAACGATTGTCTGTGACAGAGACCATTATATCAGTCAATGGAAACTCAACTCCATGAGACATGATAACTGGGAGAACTGCATGATCGGAAACATTAGGTATGGTTGGAGAGTCACCTGTCCATCCGGTGAAATAGCAAGATACAGGACTCTGTATGTATGACCCGTGAGTGTTGCCAACTGCATCAGTTGAATAAGCATGTTGAGAATGAACCGGATGAACATTCATCAATGAGTGGAAGGGGAGCTAGGGTGTAACTTCTGTACCTTTGACATCGTTGGATATCTCCATACTATTATTTGGTTTTGGGAGTATCCATGAGTGCTCACGAGTTCATTCACATTCTTAGACCATACAAGATTGCAGACCTGCCCAACGTAGCACACAACATGTATACTGAGTATAAGAACTAATTTGGTCTCTTAACTATTCTTCTAAGCTCTAATGCAAGTTCAGGGATGCATGTAAAGCATAAATCTTACCTGACTACCAGTGTCCATACAGCTCAGGTGTGAATTAGTGGTTGTGTTCCAGAATCGTATGCACCGATCGGCAGTACCACCACCAGAAGCAAGGAGACCGTGAAGATGAGGAGACCAAGCTATTGCTTTTACAGCTGCTGTATGCTCACAGTATTTTAGTACTGGCTGAGTCGAATGTTGGTTCCAAACAAAAAGCTGCCCAGAAGGATCTCAAGAAAGTTAGGCCTCTGCCCAGGAAAAAGGATGGATATGACAAAGTAAATAAAATAGACATTTGAAGGAGACAAATCATCTTACCCTATTATCGTTTCCACCTGACGCCAACTGACGGTTGTCATATGACCACTTTAGCCCACAGACCTGAAAAATATTTACTTCAGTATAGGATACAACCAATGAGCACAATGTTGAATAGAAGATAACTTCATAAGGCTATGGCATCAGTAAGAGACAAACCTCGGATTTATGACCGGAGAGTTTACTAACAAAGTCTTCAGGGGAGCGTATATCGCGTTGCAGTATACTTTTATCACGACTACCTGAAGACAGCACAGATGAACTCCAAGCTAACGCGCCAACACGCAATCGATGGCCCTCCATGTTCCTAATTTTCTTGCAACGAGATGCATCCCAAATCTGAAAATGAAGATTAACTTTAGCATCAATGACAATCCAAGTAGGTTAGCCACCCGAAAATGCTAGACCATAAACTTCCTCAACATGTTCCTTTGGCTCACAGTTTATCCATAGAGAAAAGAGGAAATTAGAAAGAGGCTAGCAAGTTTAAACTCTTTCTACTTCCAGCAGCTGAGCACCTCTTATCAGACAGACAACTAGTGTCTTATTCTGCGACCTCAAAGCTGAAGTTGCAGTGTTCTACAACATTGGGCTGGTAGCCTGAATTAGTGCCTTAGCACGTTTGCTAAACTATAGTAGACAAAGTTATCGGACCTCAGGATAATCATCAGCCTCACCCTAGGTTATTTTGTGTCAGAACACCACACTAGTAAGGAAGTTGAATAATTTGCCACGGACATGCATAAACAAAAAGAAGGAATAAACTCGAGGGTAGCAAGCTGTGAGCAAATCTAGAGGCCTTCTTCAAATTCTTTGATCCACTAGATATATGATAACATCACACTACTCGGTACTAACAGGTGAAAGAACATCAGAAGAACACGATCATTGGTCAAATAGCTAAGATTACAGCTCTATTTCTTACCTACCTTTGTTTCCCAATGCAAGTTACAGTATGGTTACTAGTAACTACATAATCATATCGATCGATAAAAAGGCAAGCTTTAATCATAACTAACCTGGACTTTCCCATTAAACGTTCCAACAGCGAGATTGTTCGTGCCACGCTGTGCCCACCCTACTGAGCAAACACTGTCATCAATTCCTAAATCACACAACTTTGTTACCTGCATTTCGCCAATTGTCACCACTCAATTAAATCCCCGACCTGATTCAAATTGACAGTTTCATATATAATCTCCCTGCTACAGACCACTTAAAAGTTCACATCTTTACCTTACTGCTGCAAGCGTTCCACAAATACACACAATTTCCCAACCCAACCGCTAGCACATTCTGCGATGACCAGTCCACTAAGTTCAAATAAAAATCATCTTGCAGTGCAGGCGCATCCAAAACCTGAAATTCCAACCAGAATCATCATAAGCCAAGCTATATGTAAAACAACAATAAAGCTTTGAGCTTCTAACAGATGCCCAATAATAACAACCAATATTTGGGACATTACCTTGTAAGGCGATCTGGGCACCTTTCTTGGAGCCTTGACGGGGCTCTGACTAACTCCAGGCCCTTCGTCATCAAACCCATAGGGGCAAAACGACTGCATGGGCTGCCTCGTCTCAGTTCTGTACCGGAAGATATTCCGCCCCGGAATTTCTCTCTTATCTGGCGTATTGGTGCCGAAAAGCGCATCCCGGAGAAGTGCAGCGTAAGCACTGGGGGATTCTTCCTTCCCGCCATCATTCCCCCCTGGAGTAGAGACATTCGACCCCGCCGCCGACGACGACGGCGAAGGGGTAGAGGGGATGTGGAAAAGCTCGAAGTTGGAACCGGATCTACTCGGAATGAATCTGTCGAAACAGATAGTCTTGGAAGGGGAGACGTAATGCTTGGAGTTAATTAGGCGCTTGACGTGCTCCGATGACGAAGCCGAGAACGAAGGAATCGAAGCTAGGGTTTCGAGATTCAGGGACGGGCGTGGCATCGTGGAAGGGACATTGAGCTGCGCAGATGAGGAGGACGACGACGAAGGCGTCGGTGGCGTCGGCGAGGGAAATTGATGGTTGGTAAACGGCGAAAGATTCGAATCGCCCATTGCAGAATTGCTACCAACGGCGCCGGCGAGCACAAATTAGTGAGAGATTGAGAGAGAGGGAGTGTGTAATGGCGAAACAAGAAGAAAGAGGCAGAGTTAGGAAAGAGCGCAAGGCTGAGGAACGGAATGACTAATGAGGGAGATGGAGAGTTAGTTAGGGTTCGGCTAGGCTGCGTGCGGGTACAGGGTAAAGTATTGTTGAATGGTAGTAGGAAGTTAGTTAACTTTCCCGGGGAAAAATTCCGGGAACCAAAAGGGTTCGGATTCCCAGCCGGACGAGGAGTGTCGTTTTACCGGCTGTTCGGTGTGAATTTGGAAGATTCGAGCGTTTGGGCTTTCGGTTAAATCCATACGGAAAGCCCATGACAATAAGACCCATATAGCAATCCAACCTTTAAAATGGTTAATACTTTTCTGAGGGAAAGAAACGTTTCCAACTTGCCTCGATGTCAAAACCAGAATACACACCAGAGAGCAGAGACCATATGCCTGAGAAATGCTCATTGCCTCACTGTTCACCCATGAATTACAAAAGAATATGATCACAAATTTGATAGAATGATCGGTCAAAAAACAAACAAACAGAAAAATAATTCACAGTTGTTTTCTTTCTTTCCTTCCTTTCCCCATCTTATTCAATCTCTGGAAGAAGAAGGATCGTTACGAGGGACGAACTCATGCTCAAGATTGGGAAGGGTTCTAGTACTACCAGCCACAGGAGTCCTCACATTCCCAACCACAGAAAACCGCAGATCTTCACCTTCAAACCCCCTTCTCTCCATCTGCTCAATCCTTCTTTTCTTCTTAGTCATCACACAAATCAACGCCAGAATCAACGTCAGCACAAGCAAAACTGCAGCCCCCACGATGGCCCCTATCATCACTTTTCGCTTCGTAGATTTGCCTCCACCACCTCCACCTGCTGCTGGAGCAGGAGCTGGTGGCTCCACTGGAGGCAGCTTCACCACCAACCCATAATGCCCGTCGGCTGCTGACTCACAGACTCCAGGAGAACTAGGAGGCTTCAAGCTCACCGTCCTATTCCTCTCAAATGTTGCACAAAAGGGATTGTTCTGAACAGTTGTAGCAGTGCTGCTGAAGCTGATGGTGATGAGGGGATTTCCTTGACCAGAGCGGATTCCAACTTCGAGAGGGTAGGTTGAATTGGGGTTATAGCTGCTGGAATTGTAATTGTAGACAGTAAGGCCTACAATTGGTGATACCAATTGGTAGCCAGAGAGGTCATAGTTTGATGAGTAGAGGGATGACCAATTCAGACCCAAGTTTTGTGTGATAACCATCACTCTCAGAAAGCATGGCTGGACTTTGATGCCGCGTTGTAGTCTGACTCCACCAAAACTGGTGCCGTACCGGCTCAGGCTGCCACACCGGAACCTTGCTGCATTGGCTGTGATCCCACCACCATCAGTGAGGTTAGCCGGGAGGTCGACATTGTAGATTTCCCCTGTTTTGATCCTTCTCGGGCTGCCAAGGGACTTGAACGTGTAGTCCCTAATGAGGAGATCCAGTTCCTCTGGTGATCTGACCATCTCTTGTGCTCTTGTTGACGTAGGTAGTGATGATAATGAGAGGAGAATTATGATGAAGGCG